TTGCTTGATCATAGTAAGGAAAAGCCTTATGTTCCTGAAGTTTGCACGCAGAGTTTCGCTGAAGATTGCACATTGAAAGCCCATTTGCCTGTTCATAGTAAGGAAAAGCCTTATGCTTGCGAAAAATGCCAGAAGAGATTCTGTCGAAGGGCGAACTTAAATAGACATTTGTATAATCATGAGAACAAAAAGGCTTATGTGTGTGAAATTTGCATGCAAAGTTGCTGTACAAATAGCTCCTTGAAAATCCATCAGCAAGTTCATAGTAAAGAAAAGCATACTTTTTGTAATAAATGCAAGAAGAGTTTTGCTCATATTGGCTCCTTAAGAACACATATGCGTATACATGAAAATGATAAACCTTATTCTTGTGAAATTTGCGAGAAAAGTTTCGCTCAAAGGAACTCCTTGAAATCACATATCCGTATTCATACTCATGAAAAACCTTATATTTGTGAAGTTTGTAATAAGTGTTTCTCTCAGAGTAGCTCCAAGAGAGTTCATTTGCGTACTCATACCAATGAAAAACCTTATACTTGTGAAGTTTGTAACAAGAGTTTCGCTCAGAGTGGTGCCAAAAAGATTCATTTGCGTTCTCATACCAATGAAAAACCTTATATTTGCGAACATTGCCAAAAAAGTTTCGATCGAAGTAACTCTTTAAAAAGGCATGTGTCTACTCATACTAATGCAAAACATTTTATGTGTGAAGTTTGCAAGGAGGATTTCAAACAAAGAAGGTATTTAGAAAAACATTTACTTATTCATAGTGAAGAAAAATTTGCTTGTGTCTTTTGTGAGAAATCTTTTCCTACAATAAATGCTTCAAGTGCAAATTTTCATGTTCACAGCAATAAAAAGTATTATGTTTGTAAAATGTGTAACAAAACCCTTGCTAGTATTACTTACGTTAAGCCTTTTCCTATCCCATCACTGTAACAACTGCATGTTTATGAAATTTGTAAGCATGCCTTTTTTTTATCTTTAGCGTACCTTCAGTTAAGCGTATTATCAGGAATGCATACTTAGTAATTAATTTCATATCTAAATTATGAAGCATGAAAATTTATTTTAAAGGTGTATCTAGCACACCAGACTACATTTATTTCATATATTTAACTTAAATATGCTGTATTTTTCA